TCCCACAGGGCAGAGAGAGAAGACAACCTGGTCTGATGAATGATGCTCCTCTGCAGCACAAAGATCAGAAGGTGAGAAGACCAACAGTGCAGAGAGAGGTGAGGAACCACTGATAAAAACCCTCCCAGCCCAGCAGGCACCAAAAGCCCCAAGGGCTTTCTTACGGGCCCTTATATACTGAGCCCCGTGAGGATGAACACTGTGATTGGTCCAGTTGGGTCACCTGACCCATCTTCTCCTCCGTATAGGCACCCGTACCCCCGCCCCCCATGACTGGCCCCTGTGCTGGGATCCCCAAAAAACTTTTATCCTTGAGCTCTCAGGCCAGGTCACAAGTGATCAGACACTAGAGAGACTGGCAGAAAAAGACAAATTGGGGAATTGAATAAGTAGCAAAAATGTTAAATATTATAAGACAGTTAACAAAAGAAGTACTACTGTGAGCAGCAGAACTACTGAAGCTTGCTTTGCTGTGTATTCTGTCTCATGGTTGAATTCACTGGCAGCAAGATGTGAACTCAAGTTGCAGGGTTTCCATGTTTTTTGTTGTGTTTTATCCTAAGTGACTTTTTGGGAAAACGTGAGTTCACCCCGTAGGCTTTTGCTGAAGGCATTCTTTCTGACCATTAATTTCCATATACAATTGTAGAACTGTTCACTGTCAGAGAGTGTTTATCCTTTGTCAGATTTGGCTGGCCGAATTACCCTGAGCAGCTGGTTCAAAAGCTGTGGCCATGGGAGCAAGCAACTATTGTAGACACCTATGCCTCATTTTCTTAAAGGAGGCTACTGAACCCTTGTTCCCCTCCCAGTGTAAATACCTGTGCGTGTAAAGGTTCATATGTATACTTCCAAATAGAATCAAATAAAGGTGACAGGAAAAAAAATAAACTAAGAAACTATAGGAGAATGCTTGGATTTGCGTGCCCTGGGCAGCTTTCCCAGGGAGATACCCTATTTAACTTTTATGTCATCGTTTAATTCTGAAGTTATAACTAAGTTTACAGGGAAAGCATTTATGGAGGGTTTATCAGAGTTTCCGAAAGCCTTTCAATGACAGCCCGTTACCTAAACTAAACCCAACAAGAATTCAAAATACAGCATGAGAACAGGTAAAGAGAATTTCTAATGGTTCTTAAGGCTTATTTCTGGGTCTTGGTAAACATGAGTTTGTGCTGTAGCCTTTCTCTTACTGCAGGTACTCAGTTTGGCCATTTTTTTTCACAAGAATAGAACTGTGAGGTCTTCCTCACAGTTTTTTTTGCCAACTAATAGTGCAGGTACAATGAAAGACTTTGTTTGATTTGCTGGCGGAAGAAAGTGGATGTTACGGTTGGGCCACAGAGATTCCATGAGCTCCTGTGGCAGCCTCGTCCAGTCCTTCGCTGCCTGCTGAGTGCCGAGGTGTTGCCTAACGTCCACCTGAAGTTTCTGTGCTGCAATTTAAGCCTGTTACTTCTTGTCCTGTCTTTCTTTTCCTGGTTTTGGGTATGGATGGTAGCATACCTTCATCCCTTCAGCAGCAGCCTTTCGTGTTTGTGCTCTTATGCCAAGTGGAGTCTCTTTGGTGTCACATCCATAAGGCAAAGCCCTTACTCTTCCTATGGATTCCTCCACCTCTAAGAACTCTGGAATACATACTGTCATCTGTTGCATTCCCATTTCTATTTAACGATGGCTGAAGCACTGCAGTGTGAGATATAATTAAAGCAAGTGTGATATTTAGAGAATCACTGACAAAATTTTTGCAGCTATTGAAGAGCTTGTCTGGTTAATTTTGTATTTTAAATCTCATTTTCACAAAATGATTTCTTCTAATCTTCACCATCTGCATAGTAAGTGTAATCAGCAAGCTGAAATTAAAATATCTGCAACCTCTGCCCTTCAAATCAATCACAAATGAAGCCTGAAAAGAATATGTTCTTCCAAAAAAATCCTTTCTATTAATCTCTCTCCCAGTAAGACAAAATATGTACCTTTGCTCCAAAAAAAAAAAAAAGTAATTAAACAACATGTTTTCTGTGAAATTTTGTTTGTCTTCATCAGATCTTGAAGTAAATGCTGATTTAGAAACCTCAGACTTTATACCAGATGGCACTGGAGTAGACATCTTTCACAAGCAGCAAATCAGCAGAGCACGTGGGATATTCCTGGAAAATGTGAAAGCATTTCTGTGCACACAGTGCCTAGGTGAGCCTTCAGAGCTTGACAGCACGAGAGCATCTTAGGAACTAGCCATGGAATGTTAGTGGTAGAAACACTGACAACATTATGCTACAGCGTTTGTCTGCAGTGCTGCTTTCTTCTTTTAGCAGTTGATAAGAAAATGCTAGTTGAGTTTTAGGGAGCAAAACGGGCTCAGTGAAGAGGATTTTTAGAAATTCCACCGTAAACATTTCTTGCACGCACCTTTGTCACTGTCATTTGAAAAGTCCAGCAACAGGTAATGGTACTGCCTCTTTGCCCAGTACTGTATTCGCTAGGAAGTGTTTTTGTTATCGTACAGGCTTTTCTGCTTTCTGGATCAGAAGATTGCTGGTAAATTCCCTTCCTGTTAGCTGTGTTTGAGCAATATTCTCTGAGAGGAAAAGAATCAATACAAATGGTAATCCTTCAAAACAGCTGAGACAGCATCGCATGCCAAAGGGCTGGAAAAATCTGAATGAACGTTCTCTGCTTTACCGGCGCGGTCTGTTCCTCCAGTGCAAGTATTTAATCTGCTGACAAGCAGATAAGGGACTTTGTGCAGCTTAGAGACCAACCTAACTTCACAAATATGACACAAACAACTATACCTGTGGAAGTAATTATAACACAACATCATGACTAGCTCCTCTGTCTGCGGGTCTGTGCAGACAGTTGTAAGGGATGCTGCAAGCTCTTGCATATCAGTATACAGGAAGAAAATGCTGGTTTGGAGCATAAAAAAAACTTGCACGTTTTCTCCCTCCCTGTTAATAAATCTGGAAGTTTCATTTCCAAAACTGTTAAAAAAGTAGTGTCGGATCCAGTTTTCTCCCGATCAAAACTCTACTCAAGTCCCCAATCGCCTACTTCATTTATATCACAACTATATCCATTACATAACACTAGTGAGCATAATAAGAAAGCAACTGAAGAATGCTTGCTTTCCATCTTCAGCCCATGATTTGTATATTCATGATAGCTTTTTGTGATATATGAAACCTTTTCCTTTGTTCTGTGATTTGGTGTGAAGTTATGAAACCCTACGTTGTGCAGGTTTACTCCCGACAAGAACCAACTGTGAGAAATGTCACTGATTAAAACATGCGCATTTTGTTTTCTAGGGATTACTTTGTTCTGATAACGTTTTGAAAGCTTAATGAACTGTGGCACTTCTTATCTTAGTAACTAGCAGCAACTTAGATATAGGAATTAAATATATTTCTACAGCAAAGTGCAGGTCAGGGTTTACCAGCTTCAAGGGCAGGTTCTTCTATGTGAACTAACGTGAGAGCAATTGAATCACGCAGGAGGATTGATACCAGAACAACTTTTATCAGGAGAAGCAAAGTCTGATTCATAAAAATATCCCTACACATGCACTTACATGCCTGTGACCATGTAAGTGTTAGTGACATATTAATCAGATTTGGGTTTTCGCAGATGTAACCTTGTTTTCAGCTAGGAGACTGTCTCACTCCTTCCCTATCCTGAGCTATTGACAGTGAGTAGGCTAAGCAGCAGGTGGGGATGGGGAGAAAGCATATGTTCCTCTGTTTCTGCAAAGATTTTTCTACATCTTTGATTCCCTGCCACTGATCTGTTTCGTGAATTCCTACTCCTCCCATACTAAACAGAAATTGAGGGCCTGTGGACAGGAGGGAATTGAAATGGTGATGAAGTTGGTGTGAAAGTTCATACGTCTGCAAGGCAAGGTGGTAGGAAAGACAGTACATTTTATTAGATTAATTCATATAGTTGGGAAAAGTCAGAGGAGCTTTTGGGCATACAAGCCCTTCTTCAGTTATGTTGAACGTGTGCACACATTTTGTTGAATAATATCTGTTTCCACCTACTGAAGTAGTGCTCGCTCTCCATGGTTAACTTAAACTTGCCTTTAGCAAAGAACATGAATTCTTTTGAAAAAACCCTGAATAAAACTGAGAAGACTTTCATGGAAGTGACTTTTCATGTTAAAGTCTCTAAGAGATAGGTACAAGGGGAAGACTGCAGCATGCTGGGTGCTCTTTATAGACGGAGTACCTGCATTCTGTGGACACCACAGTAGCTTTCCTCTTAAAACCGAGCCGATGCCTTAGTTTTCACATCATGGAGCAACTCTTGAATGTAGAGTTTGCTTCACACGGTGCACCTCTCCACTGGGATTGTTAGAAGGATGCCAGTTTTAACTGGAGGTTAGCTGCATTGTCGGTGACCCGTGTTAGAACTGTAGGAAGGAGCTACATCCAGCATTTCACACCGGCCACGAGGTGTTTATCAGGTGATAAGTGCCAGCAGCTATAGACCCAAGCCAAATTCGAATGAATAACCCAGATGTGAAAGGCCACGTATCGTGTTCAGTGAGCCATTCTGGTGCCTGAAACTGGACTTAGTGACCTAGGACTAAATTAAATAGAAGCACTTCAATGAATGTTCAATTTTACTCAGTCATCCAAATATTTTATGGTGTTACAGCACTGTGGAGAGATATACTGCAGTTGAGATAATTGTGACTGTTAATTTTCAGCCTTTTTGCTAAAGGATATTGCTCTGGAAATTATTACAAAGCTCTAGGAAAGCATTATTTGAGAGACAATTGCTTTTATTTAACTCCAGACTGGAAGGCAGAGGAATTTATGACGTTTGTAACTGTTTGATGTTACTTCTAAAAAAATGGTTTTTTCCGTAAAAAGGCACAAAATGCAGTCACACAACAGAGTCAAAGAATTATTGCGAATCTGGCTTGGTACTTCTTTTTAGACAAAACTTGACAGCATAATAGTGTGATGAAGATCTGGGTGGCTTTCTGGTCCGTTTTAATTTTTCTTCTTAAATATTTGATGGCACACCTGGTCTTCACATGTCAGTTCCTAGGGTATTGAGACAATTAGTAAGTATATAGTGGTGCACATTGTATTTTGCATACGCAGCAGATCCCACCAGAAATTACTACAACAGAGCCAATGCATTAAAAATATGTGCTTATGAAGAAAAGAACAGAAAGAAGAGTGTATTGTGTGTAACCAATCAGCAGGCATACACCACATGTTGCAGTAATTAGATTTTGACACTGGGATTGAGCTCCAAGAAGAATAAACATGAAAAATGTATAAAAATGGCTTTTTAATGCAAGGCTTTTTCGTGCTTTGTTATTAAAACAATGTACTGTAATAGTTTATAATTTACGTGTTACCTCATAATCCATGAGAAGCAATGAAATGAGGAAATCAGAGGGAAAAAAAGGAGGATGCTTTAAAAAGATGAGGACATCTGCCTCAGACATGCACCCAAGCCATTTTCCAAGGGCCAGAGCAATACTCTTGTTCTTGCCCAGCATTGCAGCTGACCTCTTACAGGTTGGCAAACCTGCACGTTGCAGTGGGGTCAGTTTGGTTAGTCTTTTGCTTAGCCAGCATTCCTGTGCCAAAGCAGGCTTTGAAGCGAGCTGAAGCTGGCTTTTTTGGCCAGCAGTTGGCCAAACTTGCAATCAAGTTCCTGAAGACGGTTGGAAGAATCTACCTGGTTGCTCTGACTCCACCAGGTTGAGCCTGAATCCTGGTGCCAGCACTTAGAACCTCTGCTAGATCAGGTTTTCAATATGTGTTAGAGTTGAAGAAGTGCACTAGACAGCTGGCTTTTAGTTAAATGGCAGATTTTGGTTTTTAATTCATTGTTTTGACCTTTCAAGACTTGAGGCAACTTGGCTGGCCACACCGACTATCTGTAGGGGAAATAAAAGGGTACCTAGATGCAAATCATGAGATGCAGCAATGAGCTCTCTTCCATAATCTTTCTGCACCCACCTGCTGCACCACCCGACATAATCATGCCCTCCCAAGAAACTCTGGAATCATTATCATTATGTAGCTTTTAATCTGGAATCTCTCTGGACTTCACCAACTGCTCATGTTCTGCACAGGCTCTTCTGGCCTTTCTTGGACTCACTCGTCTGCCTTTGGGCTCCAGCTTCCTAACTCAGATATATGCACAGTTTGACTTTTTTTATTGTACTAGCACAAAATAATTGCAGTGTAGGTTGTTTGCAGGATCCTCTTGAGTATCCAGAGGTTTCTGATCTGCATTGCAGCAGGCTATGCTAAAATTTCATAGTGCTTCTTTCAGAACAAAAAATAGTATTTTTAATTCCAATCTGTCCCGTAGCGTTTTGGGTTTGTGGCTTTTTTCCTACCAGTGATCACATAAGAACGTGATGATGTTAGAGGTGCAATGTAACAAGAAGGGTTAATAGCTGGCGGGCAGTGGACTGGAACAAAAAACCCCAACACTGCAGGGTTATGACTTAACTGGGAACAGGTAGAAAGAAATTGAGCGTTCCGGAGTTGTAGCAGAGGGGGGATTTAAAAGCAGTCAGCTGAATAAAATATAAATAAATAAAGCCCATTCTAACTAAAGCCCATTCTAACTAAATACAGTCTAAATAAAGCCCATTCTAACTAGAACAAGTAACAAATCCGTTGAAACAGAACACCGTACTTTGTCGTGGCCTCCGTTCTGCGCGGTGTGTGCAGAGCAGCCCTTACCAGATGCAGCATGTCTCCTTCAATCCAGTGCTTCCAGCCCCTGTTCTTCTTCTCGCCTTTCTGCACACAGACGAGTTTGTCACCGTCCCAGGTCACTAGTGTCTGTGGAAATCAGATAATTAACTCGGATATGTTAACAAGAAGTTTATAAATAAATGATAATATTCGTATAGTGAGCTTGTTTGATTCTCAAATAAACAATGAGAAGACACAATTACAGCTGTTTCCTATGATTCCCCATCTTCCTCTGAAAAAACCCCAAATCAGCCATTCAGCCAAAACCCAAACACATTCAGAATGACATCAGTGTTCTGATGTGAAAGTTTTACAGTGCTTTGTTGTCATTTCTGTGTTTTTCTTCACATACACAGAGAGAAAGTGTTCATACAAACTATCAAGTCACTGAGTGGATTAACAGATACTTGAGCAATGGATGCAGATTGTGGTTTTATTTTCTTGCTCTTTAAAGCCATTAATAAAAAGATTGCAGGGTCTTCCTGAGTGAAGACCTGGGGTCTTATATCAACTTGTGCTGTGCTATAACCTTTTCCAGTTTTGCATAAAATAACTAAATGTTAACGTCATGTCATGCAATGCATTTACTTGTATATTTTCATGCCCTTTCACCAAAGACCTTTAAAAAGATACGATCACAAGCTGGCAACGTGCTCTAGCTGACCCTGCTTGAGCCCAGAGGTTGGACGAGATGACCTCAAGAGGCCCTTCCTATCCGTAACCATTTCATGATTTAGTGTGATTCGGAGTGTAGCACTAATAAACAGGATATTGAGTATACTGTTTCTTGTGCAGGGGCAGGACAACTATATCTGTAAGGAAAAGTTTTCTATAGAGGTTAAATTCTCAGATAGGCTAGAGTACATTCAAAGCAACATTGTTTGAATTGTTTTAGATTTGAACCATTGTACTTTAGGGAGACATTTCACCGTGTATCATAGGTAAATCCTCATCAGAGACCAATTACAGTCAGTGGAAGTTTAGTTATTAAAAAGCTCCAAGAGTACTGGGAGCTTAATTCATTTTCTAGTTCAGCATTGGGTGATTTATTTCTCTTATGAGGGAGCTTTCTACTAATAACGAGACAAAACTCGTTCCATTTCAGTTAACTTCTTTCTTATTTACAGAATTTTTAAGCTACATGCTCTTTAAATTATCCATGCTCTCTTTACATTTAAATGTTTCCTAGCAGTTTTATTACTTTCAGCTAACTTAAACGTGTTTGACGTATTGTTTTGTTAATAAAATGTCCGGAAAAATCTTTTAGAGCAACCCAGAGAACGATGGCATGACTTGCTTCCTTTTTCCTTCCCTTCTTGTTAGAAACAAATAATATAATTTGCTTAGAAAAGAATATTAGGCAAAAATGATTAAATTAGGTAGGGGTATGATTATACAGACTGTGTTTCTGTCCTTCCAAAAGATTGATAGTGAAGAGGAGAGTCTGCAAGGAAAGACAATGGCTTTGTTAGTGCTGAGGAGAACTAGAGGAGCATTAGTCTGCGGATCTACGGAATGATGCAACTAATGAGGCCTTAGATCCTTAGTAATGCCTTCAGCTGACCTAAAGAGATGTAGGAGCAATAAACCCTGTCACAGGAATAATGTCCCACCCAGTGCTTGCTGGAGAAAATTATAGGAAGAAAATCTAGAGATAGGGATATTCAGGATACTGGGAAAAAGAACAAAAAAAACCCCACAAAAACCAGAGTTGAATTATTTGATAGCTTGTGGTGCTGGAAATGAGAAATAATTTGTGCATAGTTGGAGAGCGAAAAGTGATCTGAAGTGAATAATCAATGTCTTCTGTTAAATTTCTGCCACTCCAGTGAAGGATGTTGTGAGTTCAAACGTAAAGGTGTCCTTTATGCTGCCAATTCCCTGTGACAATTGCCAAAACAAAACAGGTCTTGTTGACAGTGAGGTTTGGTCTCAGCTTCTCAAGTTCTGAAACCCTGATTATTGAGAAGATACTGCTGGAAAGCCAGCACATGTTTGGAGAAGAGCAGGAGAGATGAGACCCGAATGGAAGAATAGAACTGGTAATTGGGAGAGGAGTTGACATGGGTCGACTCAGTGAATGCTGACAAGGACAGGCCGGTGACAAAAGGTTTGCCGGGCTCTGAAGGGGACGGTCAATGGAAATTGAAGATCTACTGGTCTTTCTACCTTTGAAAAACTTGCTTAAGGATTTTAGGGGCAAGAAGACAGAAGCGGCGTTGATGCAGAAGCATGCGGGTGAATTCGGTAAGTGAATTTAATTAGTGCTCATATGTATTCTTTTCCTCGCTGGCTTCCCCGATACAGTCCTGTTGGGATGTCTCACGGGAACAGACGGACCAGCTGACTCTGCCTGTCAGAGGAGGTCGGGCATGGGCTAACACACAACGAGGTCCTTCATCCAGCCGTTGCTTGTCCAAATATCTCACTGAAAGGTGTCTGAACCTATGCCCACACTTTCCTCGGGGAATTTTGAGCTCACATTGCTCCTATTATCCTGAAGGTATTAAAGCATGATGCTGGGCCTCCCTGCCTGTCTGCCACCGCCAGGAGCCCTGTCAGTGGCAGCTTGGGCTCACATTTTTTTCTTGCCCCTGCCCAAAGCTCTCTTCAGGTTAATAACTGAGGGCAGGTTTATTTTTAACCGTGTCCAACTGTTAAACTGTCCAGCTGAGGGTGAGCAGGCTGATTAAAACACCGTGTGAACCCAGCCATTCGGAAACTCGCATTTATGCAGAGAAAGACCTAAATTCAAAGGGATGATACCTAAAGGTGTATAACAGAAAAACTGGGAAAATCCCCTACTAGAAAAACATGTAATTAACGGTTGTCTTCTCATATCTGAGTAACCATCCTGATTTGCATTGATAACAAATGCTCATAGCAGGAAAGAACACTGTCTCAAGATTCAAATTATATTTCTGCTTTATAAAAATCCTCTGATGTCTGTAAAATATTGTTTGGGGGTTTGTTTGCTTGTTTGTTTGTTTGTTTGTTTTCACAAATTTGGCTGATTTTTAGAGCTGCTCACTCCTGGTGCTGACTGTAGTGTAAATAGATAGCAAGTACCAATTTTTTACCTTTACCACTCGGTTATCCAGCCCTTTGGTGTGTTCTTCAAACTCCACTCCCACAGTGAAATTCAGATCATAGTTTCTGAAAGTACTGAGTGTTTTTGTTTTAAAATTATCTCCGTCTTGAATAATCTCCTTTGTTTGTTTCAAGTGTTTTGCAATCTTGCGAGTCGCAAAATCAATATCTGCCAAAAAAACAGAAAAGGGAGTAGTATCACAATGAAAATTCCAATTTTTGGTACCAAACTAAAAAAGCCACAGCACTTTACTCATAATAATAATAATAATAATAATGTAGAACATGATTCCACAGATGACAATTTATCTGCCAACATTTCACAGAGACAAAGATAATTTAAAATAAAAAGAACCTTATGTTTGCAAGTAAACTTTCAATTGATTTCTCTGATTATAAACTCACTTATTAACAGGATATCTGTAGGAATGCTGTGTGCAGAGCTACAACATACAACCAATAATGAATGGATGCTGGCATGTTAAATCACTCAAATATCAGTTTCTGTTGGAGAAGGTGAAACATCTGTTTCCTATGTGCGTGGTCTGGGTCCTGCAGGGTTAGAAACGTTGGCCACCCCCAAAAGAAGGTTCTCAGAATAATAATCCTTTTCAGAAAATGCGCATGTTAGAATGAGGATGTAATCAAGGGTTTTGATGTGTTGCTTTTATGGTGAACCTACAGTCTGTGGGAGTATGCTAGAGGTTAATTAATTAATTTTAAAATAATGAAGGTTATATTAAGGAATAAAAAAGAAACAATCCAATAAAAGCCTGACTTCCACTGGTGAGACGCTGGCACAGGTTGCCCAGAGACACTGTGGAAGCCTCATCCCTGGAAGTGTTCAAGGCCAGGCTGGACGGGGCTTGGAGCAACCCGGGCTGGTGGGAGGTGTCCCTGCCCTTGGCCAGGGCTTAGAATGAGATGATCTTCAAGTTCCCTTCCAGCTCAAGCCATTCTGTGATTCTGTGATCCTGTGTTTCTATGATTGATTCTATGACTCTATGATTATTAAGCAGCAGGCACAGAATTAAGTTGTAGCTTAGATGTTAAAGGGAGACAAATTCAAAGTCCAAAGTCAGAAAAGTATCAAACTACAGCATTTGACAGTTCCTGTTTAATATTCTATCAACACTGCCTGCAGTGCCGGTCGCCGTAACATCCTTATTTTGCTCGTGATGAAGACCAACATTATAATGTAAACAGCCGCTCACAGCTGAACGCATTGGAAGTTACCAAAAGGAGAATATATATTACCACGCTGACAGTTTGCCCCAGACAATCCACCTAATGCCAGCTGCATTACCATCTGCAATAAATATTTCTGACCAGCTGGCAGTGAATCTTATTATGGGGCTGTATGCAGATGAAATAATCTCATATGTTTCTGCAAGCGAGTGACAAATGGGTTTGGGTTTGGTAGCCATCCTTTAGTGGTTTCGCCTGCGAGTTAATCATTGTCAGCTCAGCGATGCCACGTACTAATGGATCCCTTTTTCTTTCGGTAGATTCATTATACTACTTGTGAAGTACTAATTGAGTTGAGTAAGAGGATTGGTGTGAAAAAAAACGTGACTTTTTAACGTGGGGGATAATGTTCCTGTTCAGTATTTATATTCAAGGCTTCTTGGGTATATTTTATCTGCTGTGGTGGATTAAACGTATCTCTGGGTCTGATTTATAGCCAGGTAACATAAAATTTAGTTCTCTCTGAGGAAAAAAAAGTCTAGACTTGTAAAGAAATGCTATTTCTGACTAATATATTAGTCTTGTAGCTCCTGGAGAAAAATCGGGGGAGGTTTTATTAAAGCATAGTTTTCATAACTGCATTTTGAACAATACAAGCAGTAAGAATGATATATTGTTCTATTATGGTCGATTAAAATACTTTGTAACGTGTATGATAAAATCAAAGTTTCTGGTTTAAAGGGCAAAACCATTCTTTAATTAAAGCATAGAAATGCATACGCATTAATTAAAAGGATGAATGAATTTAAAAAAAACCCGAGAACCTCCGTGTGCTTTGAACCTGACCACTTTAATACTTAAAATATCAACCACATGTAAAATTGTGAGAAACAGAGCAGAAGAGGATCTTTTCACCCTTTCCATGTAATTTTCTTCCATTCTAAGCATCACCTGTAGCCATATGCATCTTTGCCTTGTTTTTCTTGTTGTGTTTTTTTTTTTTGCTAATTAATTGGCAGTTTTTAATGAATATAACTTATATAGATGCATATATACACAAAAAGTCATGAGGTACTTATGGAGGGCCAGATCCAGACAACTGGTACAAACCGCTCCTTCATTCCAACCACTTGCTGGCATTCCTACTGGGAAAGTAGTTGGAAAATTTCATCAGAAAGTTCAATGAGTACCTCTCCAGTACAGTCTGCCTAGGGAAGGCAATCAATCAAAGTATTTCCCAGGAAAAATACCTCTATATTGCATTCCTTATTCTAACACATTCTCCCTCTTGCTTTGTTTCAGGCTACTGAGTGGGTCGAGTTCTTTTATTCTCATGAGCTCTTTCTATCTTAAGCAGACTTCCCAGTATTCCATGCCTGTAATCCAGACCCCATTGTAGGCCGAATCCATCCGTTTTTCTCCCAATTTCCACTGGCATCTATAAAATCAGATAGGGATCTATACAGTGGATTCACTGATTTTGAACCACTGAATTGTTTTTATAATCCATGTGACCACTGGATAGAAAACAATGAGGTACCTGGAATTGAGAAGGGCATAAACCCCGTGGCCCTGAGGGCCACCAGTTGTAAGCATAAAAGTGAAATACAGGCTGGATTTTTGCCACATGCGGATTTACGATTCAGAGCCACCAGACTCCTGCAATCTAGGTTAAATTAGCCAACTCTAATGACTCCTTTTCTCCTAGAAGTTTTATAAATATCATGTGTGGTAAGGAAACAACAGTCTTCTGACTGTGATGTTGTAGAGCTGGGAGAAAGTTCCTGATTCTAAAGTTTGCTGGCAGAAAGTTCCTGATTCTAAAGTTTACACTCCTTGTGTATGTATAAATCTAACTCCCATATTTTTTGCCATTTTTGGAATTCAGCTATATTACTGCAATGGTGGAAAGGTGATAGCTGTTCTTTCAATGCCAATCCAGACTGTACTGAAAAAAGTAGTGAGAAATAATTGAAAAGAGAAGACTTTGGGGGGACCTAA